GGCTGAAAAAATACATCAGTCATAACCAAGTGAAAATAGGTCGACACTTACTGGTAGTGTATACTTATCTTTATCTAGCACTATTTTGAGATTATGGTCTTAGTTTGTAAATGCATAATGTTAAAATGGGCTAAAAATAAAGGTTTAAAAAGCCCTCATAACTTTAGAATGAATCAAGATTTTTAAAAACGGTTTGTGGCATTGTAATCAGGGTAAAAATTTAGTTCGAAATGATGGGTCACAACCCCACCTTTACATTTGGAAAAAATTGTGCATCCAATATGGCGGATGCAAGATGGCGGCCGGAAATGACTACCTTGTCAAAATGAAGTACTTACTACCCAACAATGTTTGGAAGTGGTCTGGGATTGATATTTGAAAAAAATTAGAAAAAAGTTGGGGGGGGGGACAATTAAAACTCACCCTGTATATATTATTTATGACAAATTATTAGGTGAGTGAAACTAAATCAAAAGGAAGATTTGCCTTCGAAATTACATAGCTTAAAATGTGTTTATTAGACGGTGACGTTTGTTTATTGTTAAGGTTGAAAGCAAACAGGTCACTGCCCACTGGCTGACCTAACTAATCCACATTGTGATATACGCTTTGTACAGCATTAAGGTTAAGATAGGTATTGAACAGTAATACAACTGTACAACTGTACACATAAGTTCAGGTTGAATCTGAGAGTGAGGTCATATCACACGATCAGCTATTGAGCTAGCTAATTCATCATTTGACCTGCCACAGAGAAGTGATATAAATTTATATTACTTCTCTGTGCACTACGCTTTGCCTAGCATGAAGGTGAGGCAGGAAGTGTACGTACATTTAACTTCGTGTTGAAACTGAGAGTGAGGTCGTATTTTAGTCTGTGCTAACTGATTCATTATTTGACCTCCACTATGTCTAGCATAAAGGTGAGGTAGAAATTGTATGCACAGTAGTGTGCATTTAACTTCAGGTTGAAACTGAGAGCTAGGTCATAATAGTGAGAGATTTGTGAGAGAGTGAGACCGGGATAACCACTTGAGTGGAGTTGTTAGTTTCCACAGTAATCTAGGAGGCGATGTCCTCAATGGAGTGTTAGTGTTACGTAACTCGTCTGTTGCACCTCCTCCTCTTAATCTACAACCGCAGTCTGGGATCTCTAAACTGGGTCTAAACAGATCCTCCAAAACTACACTCGTAGTTCTGATTGTATTCGGTGTACATGTGTTGTTGAACAATTTTAGTGTGTCATCTAGAATATATGAATAATTGTGTAATTTCTGTCATAAAATAAAGGGTTGCTTGATGAAATGGGTGTTCTATCTTTGTAGTTGTAGTATTGTCCTGTTGAAGATGGAAGCAGACTTCATTTTCGTACATGTAAGATTTTCTACGGGGTAAGTCACTGTAGAAACCCTAAAGCATCATGTAGGCCTAGTAGCAGAAATGGGTATCTGGTTTTAGTGTGTACCTACCTAATCGTAGTAAATAAATTTGAAGTTTAGTATGCGCGATGCTTTAAATTATACCTGTTTGATATGTTCACGTTTTACACATAAATCTAATCAGTTAGGCACGCACCAAGGTGCGTATCTAAAGGTGAGTGAAGGATGAGTGCTGTTTGTCGAGGATGGAGTGAAATGAAAATACTTTTTATTGAATTGAACATTAGGACCAAGGCTCTTTCTTGCAGTTAACCTCTAAGCCAGAGGATGGTAAGTGGGAACCTCGTTCATCGTAGAGGTTTGCATAATTCTAGGGGCAAAAAATAAAAAAATAAATTAAATTATCTTAACTAGTTTTATAGTAACGGCTTTGTTCAGTGGATATCCTTTAAAAAAAAAACATGTTTACACATTGGAATTTTTTAAACTTATAACGTAAACTAATAATGACAGCAACATTTAAAGTATCCCCAACGGAGCAAACCTGCAGACTAAGCGAATTTCAATTTGCCTAAATTGATTATCAATTAAATTTATTTAAATAACATTAGGTTTGACGAGTGCCTATAGGTTTGCTGCTACAGGTAGGCAATAAAGTTTGTTTTGGTAAAATATACTAATATTATATGTATATATATATATTAATAAACAATACACTATAGTACCCTTTTATTATTATTTTTTAATTTTTTTAAAGGGTACTATGGTGTATTGTTTATTAATATTAATTACAGTAGCCCTACACGTGAACGATATCAATTATATGTATATATATATTTGTATATATATACACACACACACGTGTGTATATATACATATATATACACGTGTGTGTGTGTGTACTGTATATGTATACTAAATATGTAGCATATATAACTTGGTAAAAAAATAAATAAATTTGTCAAGTTGGATCAAAATATGTACATAAACAAGGAAACTACAACATTTTACAATATTCTCCATAATATCGGATATTTAAATTTATTTTTTTGAATTTTCTTTGCAACTACCTATATAGTATAAAACACTTTGATGTACTAAATTATTTGCTTAAAATCATAGTTTACTCCACCTTACCTCTTCAAACCAAATTTCTCAAAATCGGGGAAAAAATTACTCAAGTTATCGCGTTTACGGACACACACATACATATATTTATTATATATACATGTATTTATAATATATGTTATATATGTATATATAACAGGAACGGATAGTGTTTTGAGCCTCTGGGGACATCAAAATAAAAAAATAAATCGGTCCTGTGCCACCTATGGTAATACTACTTCCCTATAGGGACATTCGCTAAAACAACTTGTTAATTGCATGGCATAACCTAAACAAAATAATATTGAATCAATACTAATCGTGTTTGAAATTAAACTTTAAAAGATTGAGAATTGTTAACATTAAAATACATTTAGCAACAATTAGGTTGAAAATCCAACTGTACAGAACCCCTAATTAACGTTTCATGAATTCAAAACATTGTTTCTGTATACAACTACAGTAGCTCATCGATCTTACCATTTGGCAGTACACGCGGGACATGGTTATGTCGGTGGCTGGGTCCCAATTTTTTTTATGGCACATATTCATCTTATTGTTGTATGAAACAGAACTACAGTTTGTTATCTATGTTTTATGGCTCTTCGTTGATCTTCGGTTCCTTATTCAACCATCTTGATTGTTACAAAAGCCGGTTATAGTTCAGAGAGACCTACAAACTGGACTTAGTATGGAATGTAACTTTTTACTTCCTGAGAGAGACCCACTCAGTAATTATTGCCAAGTTACTTATTTTCGTGGCGGAAGAAAACTCTTGTAGGGAAATACCTGTGTTGGAAAGGAATATTTGCTGAAACTTGTAAATTGAAAGAAAGGAATGGTTATGTAAATGACGGACGCATAAAAGCAGGTTTGGCTGATTACAGCTGCGGTTTCTGTCGATGGTTGATGTGCCGTACTCCATTCCCAACTTCAAAACATTTACTGAGTTGAAAGTTGTAACTTAAAAGTTAATAAAAACTGTTAAGTTAAGCTCAGTAAAATCAATACAATTAGCGTAGTACTATGTAGTTTGGGTCGTTAGCTTAATTTTAAACCCTATATTGGAATAAAAGGTTTTTCAGCCCACTGGACTAGGGAAGATTGTGTAAATGTCTTTTGACATTTTTAATCTTGATATTACAGTGTATTTTGAGGGTACGAGCAATGTAATTTGAATTCTTAGGTACCATATATTTTTATGACTATCTACGCCAATGAGATTTTCAAAATGTTTGAAATGGTAGGTTCCAAACCCTGATATTTGTCTAACCCTGATATAGCACTATCTAACGTTTAATGATTACGCTGATGATTAATGATTAATGACTATAATAACGCTAGAGGGGTTCTTCGCTGAAAGTAGTTTGAAGTATTATTTATACTGTAGCTGAAGATAACATTCCAGCTGAAATTGTTCATAAATGTTTTTAAAATTTCAAATGCATTTTTCATACTTATTTTTGAACCTATTTTAATTTATAAGGGATTCTGCACATCTACAGGAAAATATTATTCATTTGGTACCAACCACGTGTAATTCGTTCCAGTAGTATGGCCAGGCTAGCTGTCGTAAGTTTTGAAAAGGTTCTTTAGTATATAAGATGGCCATAACTAAGTCCTATAACTTTGCCTCTTGGAATAAACATTTTATCATTAATTAATTTTTAACAATGTATGTCACTACGGAGTTAAAAGTAGGACACATACTTATTTAGCTGCAATGAGAGGTCATGTTAGTATGAAATATGCATGTTTAGCTACAATTAGAGGTCAAGTAAGTAGTGCACATACTTGTTTAGCTGCATTGATAGGTCAAGTAAGTATTGCACATATGATTAAACTGCAATGCGGTCCAAGTAAATAGGACACTTGTAGTTGTTTAGCTGCAAAAATAGAGGTCATGCAATTAGGAAATATACATGTTTAGCTGAAATTAGAGGTCAAGTAAGTAGGGCATAATATATTTTTTTAGCTGTAAATAGAGGTCAAGTAGTTAGGGCATATACATGTTTAGCTGCAAATAGAGGTAAAGTAAGTAGGGCATAATATACTTGTTTAGCTGTAAATAGAGGTCAAGTAAATAGGGCGCGCATATACTTGTTAAGCTGCAATGAGAGGTCAAGTAAGTAGGGCATAATAGGTCTATACTTGTTTAGCTGTAAATAGAGGTCAAGTAGTTAGGGAATATACTTGTTAAGCTGCAATGAGAGGTCAAGTAAGTAGGGCACATACATGTTTAGCTGCATTGAGAGGTTGAATGTTATCAGTAGTAATGGATGAAGTGCACCAAGAGGGTTTACACACAAACCAGTTCCACAGGTGCAGGCAGCGACTCTAGGCACAACTGCTTCTAGCATTCGGTTACCCGTGAGGCTGCAGTGTTACAACTATCTGTAGGGTTGTGTTTGTTGACAGGGTTTCCGTCAACAGAATTACTTTTTGGTAGACAATGATACCTGTATCTTAAAACGATTCTATGGATTTTGTTTAGACAAATCTTGATTAAATCACCTAGAACTGGAACTAGGTTGACTAGAGTTCTCGGCAGCCGTTCTTGCAGGTAGTCTAGAGCCAGTCGCAGCTTAAAGGCGTGAGCCTCAGGGGTTGTACCGGTGTGGTCGTAGCACTGGCCTGAGCACAGGTCGTTGGCACCGAAGAATATTGTGATCAACTGAAAGAAAAGAATCAACTGTAAGTGGTTTTAATTACAAATTTGTTATTTTAGTTGCGCCATTTCTTTGTATTTATTTGACTGCACAACGTTGATTGAAGGCAAACATCGATTCTTGATCCTCATTGTGCAAATAATATTCGGAGACCCGTGTGCGAATTGCGCAGTTTAATTGGGCCCAAAACTTGTTTCCGAGGCAAAATGAATCCAGTGCAATGTACATTTACCTTTTTCAAGATCATGTTTGTTTAGAACAGTTATTAGGTGAATATATTTACTAATTTACAGTAAATTTGTCGATTTTAGATCTACAATATATATAGTGAATTTACCTACCTCAACCACACAAATAAATCGGTTAAATTTTACTTGTCAAAACTTAACTTTTAGTTGTAGCCTATTCAAAATGCATTTCTACGTTAAGTCTCTTGTTTACAATCTAACTGTGGTTAAAACATTCATTTTAGAATTCAGTGCGAACGCGAGTAACGTTTTAATTAGTAGGTATCATGCAATGTGGATAGAATGTTTTATTTATAATAAGAACTAGAGGTCGTCCAGTGGTCGAAAACTCGACCAAAAATATTTAATGTTTGTGTAATGTTCTTGACGGAAGTGAGTTACCTTCCAGTCGTTGTGGAAGTCGATGTTGCGCTCCTTCCTCATCTTGGAGACGATCATGCGCGCCTGTTTGAGCGCATCGGCGTCCGCAGACACGGGGATGGCGACGTTCATGTGAGAGTTGGGCGATAGAAACTCGCCCTTCCCTACAGAGTAACCGGTCAAGTTGGGGTTGAACATCTTGAGGATGTTTGGCAGAGTTAGGAACTGGCGCCATGTACCATCACCACCTGCCAGAAATATTCGAAACATGCATTTTTTAGATAGTAACAGACCACGATTTGAATAGCCATTTACAATAAAACGTACCTACCTACATTAAACAAAGCGTAACATTTATTTATAATCTGTTATACAGTTGATCCTTTCAGACGTTTTTCATTTGTACCTAAATGAGATGGAAATAAGACTACGATAGTGTGCAATTCTGTTAAGAGAACGTGGGTTTTTTATAAGTAAACGATTACATTATTTCAGCTCATTGTTACAGTATTATAATACGGTATCAATGGCCTTTAAATTCAGCGAAAGACGGGTTATGCATTTTTTTAAATTTTCATATTCGATTCAGATACAGAGAAACTTTGATATATAGATTTGGGCTTAGAATAAAACAGAAACATCTGACAACAGGGTAAATTTAAGATGTTATAGGCACGTTTATGTAATTATCAAATACTTTTCAATAGCAACAGAGCAAATAAGCAATAGTTAGCACTTTTATGGCTTAGATTACTGTTTAAAATTTTTAACCCACCCTACACTATTATGACGAACTTCCCACGCAAGGATTTAGTCCAGAAAACAGCTGTTTGCCGCCAGCTTAACCAAATGGTGTTTCATTGCGTACTACTGTACTGTAATGAGTTTTACGCCACACTACACTATTTTGACGAACTTTCCACGCAAGGATTTAGTCCAGAAAACAGCTGTTTGCCGCCAGCTTATTCAAATGGGGTTTCATTGCGTACTACTGTTCTGCAATGAGTTTTACCGGACACCAATCAGCTGATTATACTTGTATTTGCGTGGCAATGAGTGGTTATAAACAAAAACATAACCTCTCTTGGAGGTTATGACTAGTGATTTTTACTCCTTTAGTTGGTGGAAATATATAAGGATTTGTACGGATTAAGTAGTATGGCGTAAACTATCGTACGTAACTCGTCCAAAATGTGTGTACCGGACTCGTATGGTAATCCCGTACTCGACTTCGTCTCGCACGGGAACGACCACACTCGTCCGGTAAACACTTATTTTCAGGACTAGTAACGTAATATACTATTACGCCACACTACATTATTTTGACGAACTTCCCACGTAAGGATTTAGTCCAGAAAACAGCTGTTTGCCGCTAGCTTATTCAAATGGGGTTTCATTGCGTACTACTGTACTGTAATGAGTTTTACCGGACACCAATCAGCTGATTATACTGTATTTAGGTGGCAATGAATGGTTATAAACAAAAACATAACCTCTCTTGGAGGTTATGACTAGTGAATTTTAGTCCTTTAGTTTGGCGGTAATATATAAGGATTTGTACAGATTTAAGTAGTATGGCGTAAACTATCGTACGTCACTCGTCCAAAATGTGTTTACCGGACTCGTATGGTAATCCCGTACTCGACCTCGTCTCGCACGGGAACGACCACACTCGTCCGGCAAACACTTATTTTCAGGACTTTTAACGTAATATACTATTAAATGTAGGCTCTCTTTAAAGGCAGCTTAAAAATGTATTGAACTACAAGCACTTCTCGTTGAAACAGAGTTTAACCATAGATAAAACATCAGTTTAACGAATTGTTGTTTACAAGTTTGATAATAGAAAAGTGTTATTATAGAGAGAGCTGTATAGAAGGGTATCTTGTGTACATCGAACGGGGTGGCGGAATTGTACCCCCCTGGAATTGCACCCCCTGAAGGTTAGTGACGTCACGATGACGTCTCATTTTCTAGACCAAAACAGCATGTACGGGCTGGAATTGTACCCCCTCCCCACATTTCACCCAGGAGCTTGTCTATTGTGATTACCAAGTAAAATCAAAACAATAGTTATGTTGGGTATTAGAGGGGAATCACACGAAAGTGAACTGAACAAAGTTACCCGACACCTAATGAATTACTTGTTGTGAAAGGATATTCTAAGAAACTGCAAATTAAGGCCATTCCGAGTAACGTGCGAGAGGCCTAACAGACTTTTTCGTACGTTATTAATTAATATTTGCTGAACCTTCCCAAGTACTAACTGTTCATGGGTTAGCTTAAATTCACAAAGGTTAAAACTTTTACAAACTGTGAAATAATTTGTACCAGATACCTATAAGTAAATTTTACAACATGTATTTTGTCCACCTTTGCCAGTAATAGCTGTTCATAATTTGTTACCGAATGAACAATAATGCATATTATGTTTGAATGAACAAAAATGAAATACATTAACTTCTTTTCACGGTCATATTAAATTACGTTGAAAAGAGTGACGTGAACAAATGACCAATCCATTCTTATAGCATAGTTATTGTATACAAACTAGTTTAGCTTAGTTATTAGGCCTATGTGCAGTAATCAAAAGGTAAGTATTACAAATTTATATAACTAAGCCGAAATTCGCTGCTTGCGACTCCTCTTGAAAACAAAAGTTTTTTAGGATTTGCACTGCTTGTATCGATTAAAAAAATCAATCAGCTTGCGTTATAAAATTACTTAGAAGCTTTGTCCATGAGGGAATCAAGCTCAGCGTTAATTTCGTAAACGTTTATTATGGATTGCTTGGCCTTTTATTAAGTCAATAAAGAAGGCAACAGGTATATCCTGCGATCACAAACTAAGCAATAATGTAATCAGGTTGTTCATGGTTTAAAGAAAATTAATTATCAATAATAAAATATGCAGATGGCCCGAAGCGAAGTAAAGTGGCGAAGCCAGATTTTTGGATAATCTCTTCACAATTATAGTTCCTTAGCACAATCTCTATTTTCTGTACAGGTTTGAAAATCCAACATATGTCACTGTAGAAGGCATTCTCTACTACTTCATTTTCATAATACCAATAAAGTTTATCGAGTGGGTGGGGGGTACAATTCCAGCCCGTACACAAGCCAAGCTAGCTGTCCAAGAGGGGAATACAATTCCAGGGGGGTACTATTCCGGGCCGTACATCTCCTGCTCTTTTTAATATCTATAATCATCTGGTTCACTGATCACTTGTCCACATAAAATAAATTAGATTTCGTTCAAATCAAAGTGTACGGGGTGGAATTGTACCCCCCCCCCCTAGGCGTGACGTCAAAATGACGTCAACGATCGCCGGGGGGTAAAATTCCAGGGGGGTACAATTCCGGCGACCCCATCGAACCAAGGCCCCACTAAAAAACAGGCCATGCTGCAGCGCGGGCAGCGCAACCTACGTCACAGTGGTGCATAGTTGTACTAAAATATTACCATTGAAATCTGACAAACAACCAGCTTAATTATCAAAAACATAGGGGATATGGCAGTGAATCTATCAATGAATCTATCCACTAGTGTGACGTCATGGATCCTGCAGCATGGCTTGTTTTTCTAGTGGGGCCTTGGTCAAACACACAAGGACGTTCTCCCATAAGCTTGTCAACAATCTTTATCATGAGTAAGTATAGTTTATGTTACAATTCATTTATTTACATTTTCGTAAAACTGCCATAGCTACTTGACAGTCCATGAGACTAATGTTAAAAAACATTAAAATTTCATTTTAAGATCTTAATGAAATCGAATTGTCTCAGAACAGCGTGTTGTCCTATTCCGCCCGAGTTTTATTTCGCCCGTAACCTAATTAGTCCTAGTTCGCCCATGGTCCCAGATTAACCCTTATAATCATCAGCTCTACCTGCGTCAGGAGTCCTATTCCATCCACGGAGGACCCCACCCACCCCCAACTATGTAAAAGCCCTCCCCTACCCATCACCCGGTTATCCACCTTCGAATACACGGCTATTTAAGCTTAAAATATTTGTTTGACAAATCAAGCGATCCAATTTCCTTTATAGTATTAATGTAAAGTTTAAAGACAAAGATATCTGTAAAATATTTATAAAATTTACTGTCCATGTACTGTTAGTTACTGTATGTTTGTCTCCCTATCCAAAATGTGCAAATAAGCAATTTAATTATTTAAAATATTGCGCTTAACGTCAAACAGAAACATATGATAACACTGCAATCCAAGACATGGCAAAACAAAGGCCACTAGATATATAGTTGCTTCTTGTGTTAAATACCCAACTGGAAATTGTAAACAAACCACTGAGCCAATCGGCCTGCCAGTTGCGGGAGAAATTTTTGTTTACAAATATATATCTGTTTAAAATACACCTTTGTTCGCATTATAAATCTGTCATATTGGTGTTATTTCTTGTGTTTTGAACGAAATTTTTAGCGTCTTTTTAACGATGTTAGCATACGTTTTAAAAATAAACATCAGCATAAAAACTATCCTGAGTAAAAATTTTAAAATGCATGGAACTGTTAACAATAAATCTACCAATAAGCCATACAAATTTCAGAAAGATTGGCTCGGTGGTTTGTTTACAATTAAGTTTTAAACTTCAGTGTTAGTGCAGAGTTTCTTAAAAACCGGTACTTTTTATAATCTTTCAACTGTATAAAAATGTTTCTGGTAAACGGAATTTTTTAAATTGTTACCACGTAAAATTTATTTAAACCAGTTTATATTTAATTTTTGTCTCAACAAAATCGGATAATTAATCTCAAGAGATATTTAGGCTCAAACTCAAGCACATATTTATTTCCCCGACAGTAGTCCCGGCGCGCTAGTCGTCTGCTATGCTTGATGAGAATAGTGTAGATATAAAGTTAATGATATTAGTGTAAAGGAAAACAATGTAATTGAGGACTTGACAAACAAAGTACTTGGACAATGTGTAGGAGTAAATTTGTTTCCAAATAGTACATATTTCTCAGGATATGAAACAATATGGACAAAAATCATTTTTGTTTAGTACCTAATTAAAATTACGAGAGGTCGTCCAGTGGTCGAAACTCGACCAAAAATATGTAATGTACTCACTTATCTATTTTCACCCCACACTGTAAATAAAACATGTGATTGGAGTTTCCTCCATTTGTTTTGATTTTCTGTTTATATTTCGTTGTTATTTCGTAACCAGCATAGCAACGCATAAGATCCATGTCAATTTTTTCAAATTTTTAAACTCATTTTTTGTGC